AAAAATGATTAATCAACCTCTCATAATTACAAAAAAATGAACAAAATAAAAAATTATGATTGGTTGAATGCGGTTTGCACGGTTTGTACAAATTGAGTGGTTTGCATTTGATCGTTCCCCTATATATATATATATATATATATATATATATATATATACACATACACGAAAACGAACGCCCTATTTTTTCCTATACCTGAAAATAATTAGTGGGGTTTTTTTCTAATAAATACGATTGTTCTTCAACGTGTTTTTTATTCCTTCCCTTAAAGTAAGTTACGATCATAAGCAAATTATTAAACAGTCATCAAATTATATTTTTATATAATAAACTGATAAAATATACAATACTTTTTAACGACCTTTACATCCATTTTATACGTTAAAACACATGTACTTTTGGTATCTAGCACGAAAATATTAAACAAACAAAGCTTAAGCATGTATTTTTTTTTAAATAATTAATAACACATAAAGTTTAATTAGAAGTCGTTAAGTTATTCCTAAATTGAGTTAGAACCCTAAATAATAAGTTATTGCAAAAATTCATGAATTCACATAATATTTCTATAATGACGGAGGATAATTAATTATTGTGGTCCCTTCTTTTTAACTGTCATCCTTGTTTTTATTAATTAGTGACCGTAAAATATAGATAAGGTGGTCACTACTTGTTTATACTTTTTTTAATTACCCACGTAAATTATAAATATTTTTTTTTTATTAACCTGGATATCCAACCCGTTATTCGAGCCGACTAATCCCAGAGCGACCACCTGCTTTGCTTTGCAGATAGCCCGAAGTCACTGTATTTGAACTTCCGTGGCCACAAAGAGATTTTTATTCCTCCTTGGATTTGAACCTGTAACTTTCTGATAATTTTGACCTTTGGAGCCAAGCTCAAACCAATCAGGCACCATTCTTGTGGTTGTAAATTATAAATATTTATGAATCGTATAAATATATTTTTACAATCATATTACATAATAGTTTATTTTATGAGCCAACCCACAATGATGTAAAGCAAATGGAAGGGCCACGACAATCACTTACGAACTATCATTGAATTAATAATGCAAAAACTTTCATGCACCCTACATAATCTCATGGACCGTGAAGAACAACCACCCATTGAGGCTACGATACAATTTTGGCGACCAAGCCAAACCTGTACGCCACCTAGCTAGATCGTGTTTGGAGATTGCTGGAAGGCTAAGTTGGAATCAGGCGACCTTAGCACGCGACTTCCGGTCACGTTGCCGGGTCATGTACGTTGAAATCGAACAAAACAATGAGTTAGGTCTTTTATTTTGTATTTGTTCATTTGAAGAACTAAGATATGTTACCTTTCTAGAATATAAAGCTTTATTAAGACAGGGGCCTCTCACTTTTCTTTTTTTTGATTAAACTGGATATCCAACCCGCTATGCGAGCCGACTAATCCCACGACGACCATCTGCTTTGTACATAGCGCGGAGTCACCGCATTTGAACCTCCGTGGCCACAAGGGAATTTTTATTCCTTATTAGATTTGAATCGTTTGATCACTAGCTAGTAACTATGTTGTTACGTTGAGTGACACAATTGATATCTGTCTCCCTATGGACATACAATATCACCTCGGTTGTAACATCACGTTAAATTCATCCGTCTCAGTTTGCGTGTCATATATATTGTGTTCACTTGTTTTATGCCCGTAGATTCATTTCTCAGTGTTGTGGATTGTTATATGTTGATAGATCATTGTTTAGCTAGCATCATTTTAGATGCCATTTATCTACATTCGTTGATTGGGTCCTATTTGCATTTTGATATGATCACTTCTTGTATTGGGGCTGTTAGATCGTTGTATTCATTTCCGAGTCCTACAGGCTACAGCCTTCAATTACATTAGAAGGCGATGCAAATAAATTGAGATATTTATGAAAATGATGAGAGTTTATTTATTATGATTTGAATATTTATGAAAGATGAATATGATTCATTAATTATGATCAATACTTTATATTATGAAAACAATCAAAACTTCTATGAAATCACATATTCATCAAATTGAATGCACGGTTGAGATTGGGTTGTATTGTACAATATCATCAAATCGACTGATGGTCATTAATGCTCCTATACGATTGCCGGTTTTAGCAATTAATTGTCATGTTTGAAACTCTTTTCTTTTCTTTTTTCCTATGAATGGAGTGTATACCTATTCCTATAAAGGCTTCTTGTTGTTTACAGATTATCACCTCCCTACAGCCATACTTGTTGAAATACAAAACTTCGAACTCGAAATATGTTTACCCTTCAAACCCTTTCGTCTTTCGAATACCCTGGTCTCGAAAATAGTCGGGCACATCTCAATGATTCATCTTACATGAAAATGTTCCCGATGCTGAATCAAGATGATCATGATCATGATCATGATCACTCTCAAGAAAAGAGTCATGAACCACTTTTCTGTTCAAGATTCTTGGACGGAAATCAAGCAGACGAAGGAGGTAAGAAGAAGAAAAGGCCGTCGCCGGAAAGGGAAATCCAAGAGGTAGAGTGGAGGCGGTACAGAGGAGTTAGGCGGCGACCGTGGGGGAAATTCACGGCGGAGATAAGGAATCCAGAGAAGAAAAAGGCAAGATTGTGGCTTGGTACATTTGATACACCAGAACAAGCTGCATTGGCTTATGATAGAGCTGCTTTCAAGTTCCATGGTTCACGAGCTAAGGTTAATTTCCCTCTCTTGATTGGGTGCGATGACCGGTCTGTTGTGCTAACTCCAATGCAAAAAATGACTCACGAACTGCATCACCCATCATCTTCAATGTCCTCCTCTTCGTCTTCTATGGAGAACGGACAACAGAGAAAGAACTGTATGGTCGACCACCCAACGACCACCGCCACCAAGGTGGGAAGTGAGCATGACTCTCTACATGATCTTCACTTGTACACATCAACACCTTATGATTTTTCCTTGAAAAACTCCATGGAAGCGCCTGCTACTACCATCACCACCGGTAACATGGAGGAGGGGAGAAAGGATAATGACACCTTGTGGTCTATTTTCTTTCAAAGCACGGTGCAATCTCCAACAGCCACTGTTACTTCTGGAGTGGATGAAGTGGGTGGTGGTGACCATGACTCAATGTGGGATTTCCAAATGCTACCTGTGGTAGAGCCACCATCAGCAACCACCACCGCAGTTAGAGCATCGGATGTGGGAACTGATCATGACCCATTCTGGGACTTTCAGATGGATACATTGACAGATGATGACTTTCTTTTCCTTTAGGGTTTACGATTTAGTAAATTATTTCTTTGAACGTCAAGAACCTTTTCAAGATTCCACCCATGACATAATACTACTCCTAATTTCTTATCACCATTTTCGATTTCCAACCGGTAAATTTCTATGGCCGGATTACAGTTGGTCGCTCGAATGGTCGGAAAGTACTCTACGCATCATTTCTAGAAGTACGAAGTTTTAATGCATACAGAAATTATCTGATATTATTACTGAATAAATTAACTCATATTAAAGTTTCTCCTTTCATATACGCTTTCCTAGTCTTCTAAAAAATTTAATCATTCATATAAAAAATACAAGAAGCTAAACTATAAGGGTGATGCATGATTGTTTTGAGCTTGGCTCCAAAAGTCAAAAATACCGGGAGGTTCCAGGTTCAAATCCAAGGAGGAATAAAAATCCCCTTGTGGCCACGGAGGTTCAAATACAGTGACTCCGGACTATTTACAAAACAGGTGATCGCCCTGGATTAGTCGGCTCGTATAGCAGATTGGATATCCAGAAGAAACTTTTTTTTGGAGAAAATATTTTCCCCAATTCATCCAATAAATTAATATTCTACTTTTATTTGTAAAATTTAAAATATTACGTTGAATGATACAAAAGATATATTCCTAATAAAGAACGCAAATAGAAACAATAAAATACATGCATGGTTTTTACGGAGTTTTGAATATTCAATTATTAAATTATAAAAATCAGTAAAATAGTAATTAATTTATTATATTTGCCAAAAATATCAATAAATTAAATGAACCATAAAATGGAATTTAAACTAAAGACATTTTTTTTATTAACTTGTGTATCCAACCCGCTATGCGAGCCGATTAATCACAAGACAACCACCTGCTTTACAGATAGTCCGGAGTCACCGTATTTGAACCTCCGTGGCTATAAGGGCATTTTTATCCCTCCTTGGATTTGAATCTGAGACCTCCTGGTACTTTTGACCTTTGAAGTCAAGCTCAAACCAATCAGACACCACCTTTGTGGTTAAAACTAATTAATGGCATTAGTGTGATAGATTATGAATTCAAGTGGTTTTTTAAGAGAAATTAAGATCTCTTTTTTTGTAATCATTTAAAAGAAGTTAATGAACCAAGTTATTCACAAAGTTGTATTTTATTGCTATATTTTCTGACGACATAACAATTTAAGTGAAAAAGATTTGTAAATAATTATTTATTATATTATTAGTAGTTGCTTTATTTTAGTTTTAGTTGTTAAGGTGTATATCCCACAACTATGTTTCATTTTTTTGTTTATTTATTTCATTTAAGCATTTTTCTTCTTATTTACTGAATTAATCGGAATTCCGAAAACAATAACATTAGATACAAGTAACGTGACCAAATCAAGGGGACCAATGGTACTACATTTCAAACGTCGAGAGAACAACAACGTCTTGTACCAACTGCCTATTGATTTGTTATACCTTACATTTGCACTTCCTTGACTCAATGATCGCAACAAGAGTTCAAAATTTCCAAAGAGAACTAACAAACGAATCTAAACCCGCCCCCAAATAAAAATACTTTAGAACTTAAAAATCCAATAAGAGGTTTCAAGAATTGGCAAACATGGTGCTACACCTTGTGACACCAGAGGAGGGTGTTAAACCCACTCAAAATCTCTTGATTCTGATGGTTGGCGGCTGCCATCATTTGAGCCAGGGAAGCCAAAGAGGATCCCAACGTAGTGTCAGGTGAATACTAGTCTGAAAGCTCAAATCCTAGAAGATCAAAAGGAAGCTCATTTCCTTCTGGAGTTTTCACAACACCATATACATGTTGTTAGGATCTTGCAAGTGTTTCACGAATAAGAAAACCAACATATATATTCTTACAATGAAATAACATGTTCCATTCTTGAACTTATTTGTTGGACACAAGAAATCAGTAGATACCCAGATCATAGGGGTTGTTTGTTTACCTCCTAATAGTTCCATGAAGAGGTAGCATCTGAACCGTTAAGAGGTCATGAATCTTGTTTGGCAAAAGAAAAGTTTACCTCTTAATGGTTCTAGAATCCTTTGAATGATTTTGCATCCCTTAACCATTCAACGCTCTAAATTCATTGTAAACAATTATAATTTATTTTGCACTATATATCATGAAAGCCTCTTAATCATTCCGATCACGTAATCATTTTGCACTAAACCATTCAACAACTACCAAACACCCTCTTAGTAACAATTTTACGCCGATGAAAACGGTTACTTCAAAATAAAGAAAATAATAAGAGCATTTATAAAGTTCACTTATTTTTTTAGGTAAAAATTAATTAAAGGAAGAATTAAGTGTTCCATTACAAAGTTAAGTAGTCTCTTGTATAGCCCTTAATTAAGAAGACAGTAAACATAATTAAGTAGAGGTAGCCAGCCACAAGAGAGGTGTAGCATTCTATATATATATGCTGTAAATAAGTGGCATGAATTTTGAGTTATAACACTAACTCTATGCTACCTTCTGGGGTCGGGTACGTGTAGGGATGGTTAGGAGCCGCAAGAAAATTGGCACTGTTTTATTGGATTCAAAAATAGCATACTTGACTTCATAAAAGTAAATATCTTATTTAGTAACTTCAAAGTTATAATTAACTTGACTAAAAGGCAGTTTACCTGCCCGGTAAAATTCAACACTATAAATACTTACCGGATAAGATTTTATTCACTAAAACGCATCGTATGCAATAATTTATCCCGGTAAGCGCCAACCATGGTAAGAGTCTTTGTCCTCACTTATTGCGTAAGACTCGATTCTTCCATTCGCTCTTACCGGGTAAGATTATTAGTCTTGCCATATTCATGCGGTAAAGTAAAGTGAAATGGTAAGCGCTTACCCGGGTAAGCGCTTACCCGGGTAAGCGTTTGATGAACGGCACCTAAGTATATTAATTGATATTTGATCACTATGAAATATGTTAATGAAATTAGTTTAAAAAAGGGAAAATTGCATCAAAATGGAACCAACTTTCACCTTATTCTTATTTTGGGGAATCAACTTTAAAAATCGTCATTTTGGGGAACAAACTTGCACCTGATTCCTATTTTGGGGAACCAACTTGCAAAAAAATTATAGAAAAATAACTAAAATTCGTTTTTTTCAAAAGTTAATGCAATAAAATATATTTTTCATTTTAAATCTCGCTTTTTTTTAATTCAGATATCATATTGAAGATTTTTTCAAAAGAAATCCTAATTGCCACAATGAAAATGTTTTTTACTAATGTAATAAAAAATCAATTTAATAGAAAAAAATTAATTGATGCAATAAAAAATAAATATTAAATATCACATTCAAGATTTTTGTATCTAACCAATCCGTATCAATATTAAAGTTTAAATCAAATTTGGCAAATCAAACCAAAAGTTTGATAGAGACCCTTAAATTACCTATTACATTGTTCAACTGATCAACCAGACCCTTAAATAAACAAAAAGTTTGATAGAGACCCGTAAATGACGATTTTGAAAGTTGGTTCCCCAAAATAGAATCATGTGAAAGTTGGTTCCATTTTGATGCAGTTTTCCCTTTAAAAAAACCCGTAATGAACGGAATGAAAATTAGTTTTAAAAAACCCGTAATGAACGGAATGGAACTTTCGTTGTACATATAGCTTATTAAAAAAAATAATTTTTAATAATATGTACATGAAAATAACAATAAAAATAAAGTAAAAAAATTTCTAGTGATTTTGGATACTTAATTAGCTACATGGTTTTAAGGTTTAGGGTTAAGAGAAAGAGTCTTTAAGCTATCTAAAACGAAGTGAGGCTCTTTACAGGATGGTTTCCTTTACGGTTCAGTTGCCAACTAGACTTAACGAAGTTCAAATCACTCTCTAATTAGCAATTAATAAGATAGATTTTTTAGGACATTACCTTCCAACATATTTGGGGATACATCTTCCTAACACAAGAATTGCTTAAAGTATGTGAAAACATCATGAATTTAAAAAAATCCGACAAAAAGAATCTTTGCATAACCCACATGAAGTTATATATATATATATATATATATATATATATATATATATATATATATATATATATATATATATACTGAAAATTCGTTTTGTAGTAGTTGTAGTTGAATCTACATTCTTCAATTGTCTTTTTCTATCGTATCAAGTTTTATACTTCCATTATTTGATCACCAAGATTCCAAGGACATCTACTTGGGAACTCCACTTAACTAGATATAGTAATGTATTATTCAAAAACCGATAAATATATGGATTAATGTTTGACTAACATAAAACCCATATCTTCATTCTATACCAATTGATCATGAAGGTTATGTTGATAAAAGTTGCATCATTGTAGTAAATATATGTTTAATCGAGAGTCGGTCCCGAAGAGAACTAATTGGCCTACCTCCCAAATATAGATTTGTCTATAAAAAGGTCCCATTGTGAATTTGTTTGATCATCGAATAATATACTCGAGGTTTCTCTATTATGTGTATTCAATGTGTGTGATTTGTGATTCCGTTTTGCATCATATGTATTTTCTGATCATTGGCAGAGTGACAGTGGGAGAAAAATGGTGCTCTTGCATAGCAAGTGAAAGTTCTATAGTGTTAATTCACAATTACAAGTATGATAGTACGTAATTATAACAGTATTGATTTGTCATCATAGAAGTGTGATAATACTTACTCATTATTTGGGCTTTCTTCTCTTTTGATAATTGCTAATGTGGATTTAGCTTTATAAACCCATAATAGTTTCCAAGTCTTTCCTATCTCAAACTAATTGTTAGTCTAATACCCAACAATACCCCATATTTTCTATTCAAATTCCAATAATACCCTAGATTCAAATAGAAAATAAGATAATAAGCATAGGAACTTATTTTTTCTATTTCATGAAGCTAAATATGATAAACATCGGGAAAGATGTCTTTTAGACTTGAACCATCCAAAGTAAATACAAATCGGATCTACTTTGTGGTAGTGAACATTAGTCTTGAACTAACCACTTTGTATGGTAAATCTAGACAATAAGTATCACATACATCATATATATACATATATCTGTTATTACGTTGTTTTC